TTGATTTTGTACCAGGCACCTTTACTGAATTCATGTATTAGTTCTAATTGTGTTTTGGTGGAGTCTTTAGGGTTTTCTACATATAATATCATGGCATCTGCAAATAGAGATAATCTTACTTCTTCCTTCTTGATTTGGACGCCTTTTATTTCTTTTTCTTGCCTGATTACGCTGGCTAGAACTTCAGTACTATGATGAATAAAAGTGGTGAGAGTGGGCATCCTTGTCTTATTTCTGATCTTATAGGAGGAGTGTTCAGCTTTTCACCACTGAGTATGATGTTAGCTGTGGGCTTGTCATATATGGCCTTTATTATGTTGAGGTATGCTTCCTCTGTACCCACTTTGCTGAGAGATATTATCATGAAAAGATGTTGAATTTTGTCAAATGCTTTTTCTGCATCTATTGAGATTATCCATCATTTTATTAATGTCGTATATCACATTTATTGATTGGCTTATATTGAACCATCCTGCTTACCTGGAATAAAACCCACTTGATCATGGTGTATGACCCTTTAAATGTATTGTTGAGTTCAGTTTGCTAATATTTTCTTGACTTTTGCATCTGTGTTCATCAGGGTTATTGGCCTATAATTTTGTTCTCTTTGTCTGGTTTTGTCTTTGGTTTTGGCGTCAGGATAATGCTGACGTTGTAAAATGAGTTTGGAAGTGTTTCCTCCTCTTCTGTTTCTTTGAATAGTTTGAGAAGGATCCGTATTCATGCTTCTTTAAATGTCTGGCAGAATTCACCTTGTAAAGACATCTGGTCTTGGATTTTTGTTTGTTGGCAGGTGTTTGATTACTGCTTCAGTCTCCTTACTAGGAATTGATCAGTTCAGATTTTCTATTTCTTCATGATTCGGTTTTGGTTGGTTGTATGTTTCTAGGAATTTATCCATTTCTTCTAGATGGTCCAATTTGTTAGCATATAATTGCTCACAGCATTCTCATGATCCTTTATGCATCAGTTGTAGTATCTTCTCTGTCATTTATAATTTCACTTATTTGAGTCCTCTCTTTTTCTTGCTGAGTATAGTTTAAGATTTGTCTATTTTACCTTTTTTTTTTTTTTTTGAGGTACATGGGCCTCTCTCTGTTGTGGCCTCTCCCGTTGCGGAGCACAAGCTCTGGACGCGCAGGCTCAGCAGCCATGGCTCACGGGCCTAGCCGCTCCGCAGCATGTGGGATCTTCCCGGACCAGGGCACGAACCCATGTCCCCTGCGTTGGCAGGTGGACTCTCAACCACTGCGCCACCAGGGAAGCCCTCTTTTTTTATTAAAAAACAGCTCTTAGTTGCATTTATCTTTTTAGTCTCTGTTTCATTTCTTTCCACTCTGATCTTTGTTACCCTTCCTTTACTAATTTTGGACTTCTTCTAGTTCCTTGAGGTGTAAAGTTAGGCTGTTTGAGATCTTGTTTCTTAGTGTGTTTATTGCCATGAACTTCTTTCTTAGAGCTGTTTTTGCTGCATCCTGTAAGTTTTGTATGTTGTATTTCCATTTTCATTTGTCTCAGATATTTTTTGATTTCTTCTTTGACCTATTGGTTGTTTAGTAGCATGTTTACTTTTTGCGTATTTGTGAATTTCCCAGTTTTCTTTTTGTAATTTATTTCTAATTTTATACCATTGTGGTTAGAAAAGATGCTTGATATGATTTCACTATTTTTAAATTTATTGTCTTGTGGCCTAATATATAGTCTACCCTGGAGAGGGTTCCAAATACACTTGAGAAGAATTTTGTATTCCTTTATTGCACAGAATGTTCTGTATACGTCTCTTAGGTCTGTTGGTCTAACATGTTGTTTAAACCCATTGTTTCCTTACTAAGATTTTCTGTCTGGATGATCTATCCCTTGTTGAAAGTAGAGAATTGAAATCCCCTGCTTTTCTTGTATTGCTGTCTATTTCTCTTTTAAGATCTGTTAATATTTGCTTTTAGGTGTCCCTATTTTGGGTGCATAAATATTTATAATTGTTATATCATCTTGATGAATTGACCCCTTTACATTATGTAATGACCTTCTTTGTGTCTTGTTACATTCTTTGGCTTAAAATCTGTTTTGTCTGATATAAGTATAACTACCCCTGCTTTCTTTTTGTTTCCATTTGCATGGAATATCTTCTTCTATCCTCTCACTTTCTATCTGTGTGTGTCCTTAGAGCTGCAGTGAATTTCTTGTAGTTGGGTCTTGGTGTTTTCTGTCTTTTGTTTAACCCATTCAGCCACTCTGTGTCTTTTGGTTGGATAATTTAGTCCATTTGCATTCAAAGTAATTACTGATAGATGTGGTTTCACTATTGCTCTTTTGTTCCTTGTTTTCTGTTTTGTAATTCCTTTGTTCCTTTCCTCTTCCTGTCTTCCTTTGTGAATTTGATGATTTTCTGTAGTTGGTATGCCTAAATTCCTTTTTCTTTATCTTTTGTGTATCTACTATAGGTTTTTTGCTTTGTAGTTACCATGAGGTTTATGTAAAACATCATAGTTATAACAGTCTGTTTTAAGCTGATTACAAATTAACTTCAAACACATACAAAAGCTCTACATTTGTACACTCCCTGCCATTTTATGTTTTCAGTGTCACAATTTACATCTTTTTACATTGTGTATCCATTAACAAATTATCATAGTTATAGTTACTTTTAATACTTATGTCTTTTAATCTTCATTCTAGAGTTATACATGAACTACCCAGCACCATTACAACATTTGACTATTCTTGCATTAAATAGTTGTGTAAAGAAAATGACCATGATTGAATGAACAGATTGGAAGTAGTGCCCCTCCCTTTGATGTTAAAAGAATATCTGACTTCCCAGAAGCATTGGTAGGAGTACAAATTGATAAAGGGTTGAAGGTATTCAGCTTGGTAGTAACTGTAAAAATTTCCAGTGAGTACACACCTTTGACCCAGAAATCCCACTTACAGAAATTTACTTTAAAACCATATTTGTTCATGTTCTAAAGGATAAGATTAAATAGTTTATGGTATATCTATAGATAGACTTTAAAAAAAAAATTAACAAATACATATAGCATTTACTAATGTGCCCAGAACTGGTCTCAGTGTTTTGCAAATATTAGTCTTATAACAATGCTTTGTAGTAGATTATGTTATATACACTTATATTAGTGCCATGTTATTGATAAGGAAACTGGCAGAGTTTAACTTGGCCAGAGTCACACATCCAGTAAGTGAGAAAGTCTGCAGTGGAACTCAGTCTGATTCTGACGTCTTACCACTGTGCAGTGCAGCGATTACAAAGAACTTGATGGACTCGGTGTTGTAATGTACGTGTATGTAAGACCTCCGAACACAGGAACAGCATAAAAAGGCAAGTGATGAGCCAATACATAGAGCAGATCCCATGCATTAAAAAATTCCGATAAGATATATGTGTGTACACACACGTGTGTGTAAACACCCAGCATTGTATCCCAAACTGTTGAAAGTGCTTTGCCTCTGAGGGGAGGAGCATTTTCATGTCTTTACTTCCATGACTGAGAATTACATATTCTTCTATTAGTTTTTGTGGGGTTTTTTTAAGAAAAAACTCAAGAAGATACGATTAAGTAGAAGAGAGTCTAAGATATCTCAATTAAGAAAAGCCTTGGCAGTCCCAGCTTTCTGGACTTGGCCCCAGCAGTGAATTTTTGCACTTACTGAGATCTCAGGGTGTATATAGTAAAGCCTTGTTTTCTTCATCTCCTTATACATTCCCGTTCTCCTTTGTCTTCCCAGTGAGGCAGCAATAAACCTACCATTTCTTTTCATTACATTGAGCTGCTACATGTCTCTCTGCGTTCTGCAGTATTGTATGCTAATGAGTGAGCTTTTTTTGTATGCATTCCGATAGTAGCTTTGTGAAGGTTACTTTATTTTTAATTGTGCCTATCTGTAAGAATGTGGATGTTTAGAGGGGGAAAGTCAGAGCCAAGACAGGTGGCATTCAAGCTCGATGGCACCTTGGGATTGTTCACGTGATCATGACTTTAGTCAGCAGGCTTCATGAAAGATGTGATTCTCATGGGAAAGGTAAATAATAGTAGGTGGAAGGTTGGAAAGATCATCAGACTATTCCAGAGAAACCCAAGATAAGTTTGTTACCTAGTGAATTTGTTAAAGATCTCATGGTGCGACTGTTTGCTGGCAGAATATGGTAAGCAGAGTTGAAAGGTTGCAATTCAGGTCAGAGGACCCGTGCCCAATCATTAAATTATTTTTGGAAGTCTACTGTGATTGTGTCATTCTAGCAGATAGAATTTAAAACCTATCCTGTGAAATACACAATAGCCTTCTAGTACCCCAGTTCACAATGTGTAATGGATCAATGTTCTCAGAAAACCTCAATGTTGTCAGTCAAAAACAGTCTGGGGCTTCCCTGGTGGCGCAGTGGTTGAGAGTCCGCCTGCCGATGCAGGGGACACGCGTTCGTGCCCCGGTCCGGGAAGATCCCACATGCCGCGGAGCGGCTGGGCCCGTGAGCCATGGCCGCTGAGACTTCACGTCTGGAGCCTGTGCTCCGCAACGGGAGAGACCACAACAGCGAGAGGCCCGCGTACCGCGTAAAAAAACAAAACAAACAAAAACAGTCTGAAATTCCTTTGTAAAATTATCCACAAAAATGGTATATGTGGTTGCTCCTTATCCCGCTATGAAGATTTTTGGTCTTTGTGTCCCCATGACCTTTATATGCCATTTCCTAATTCTGATCTGAGGCAGACTTATTAATAGTCATCATCTCATTGCTCACCAGTAGATTGCAAGCTCCTCGAAGCCAAGGAGAATGTTTGGGTAGTCTTTGTATTTCCTTCAAGGCCTAGAACAATATACTCCACATTGTTAGATGCTCTGGGAAAATTATGAAATTGAACTGATACTAATTAAATTTGCTGTTTTCTGTGACTTCCTTTCCAGGAACATGTTATGTAGAGACAGCAGCATGTAAGTTTGCTGTGTATGTTGGGCATCACAGTTTCCATTTTCTTGTTAAATAGGAACTCTCCAAGATCACAATGCCAGTTATATTTAACGAGCCTTTGAGCTTCCTCCAGCGACTCACTGAATATATGGAGCATACGTACCTCATCCACAAGGCCAGTTCATTTGCTGATCCTGTGGAAAGGATGCAGGTATGTGTCAAGCAAGCACTGGGAAAGGTTTAAGTCTTAGGAAGTCTTCTCTGCCACCTTCTCCCCTCCCCCCGCCCCAAACATATATACACAGAATTCATGTTAAGTCCAGTGTGAGGTTAGCAAACGTTATCATTACATAGTCAGCATGTTTGGAGAGTCGTCTGTGTTCCTTCCCCGCCACCCGCTAGTCAGAGTGCCACCATAGTGGAAAGACCAACGAGAATTGCAAGAGAAGCAGAACATGGTCCAAAACCAAACCTGGATGTTGGTGAGCTGTTTCTGAGTCTTTGTTTTAGAAAGTAGCATTGTGTTAGGGTAAAAATATTCAACCTTTCTTTCAGACTTTCTCAGTGTTTCCAAGAAGGAATAGATATATACATACACAGATAAATATGTGTATTTATGCTTATGTGTGTATATAAATATACACATACTACTATAGGTTAAAACAAAGGACAACAAGGAATTGCACTTTTTTGTTTTCCTCTGAAGAGAAGGCATTCATGTGATGTATATGGATTGACTAGACACAGGGAGAGTATAGTAGATACATTCTTTTCCTTCCAACAAAGCAATAGCATTCTAAATGGAGTCATTCTGTCTTTTCATTTATATAAATCAGCTTTTCCCAACCTCATTGGACTTGATACCAATTTGTTTAGTTTTTTCGCCCCATCCTAAAAGTGATGTACTTTTTAGAAATTTTAAAGGAATTAAGAGTAATTTAGGATTTGAGAGTTTTTTAGAAGTCCTTGAGAGAGTTTGTAGCACAGTTGGGATGATCTGTAGGAAGAGTCTCAGAGTAATTTCCATTCTGAATATCCGCGTTTGCTTATTAGTTTGCTTATTAAGCCGTGTTAAAAATACAAAGTAATTAAACTCCTCAAAATCATTTTGTAAATTACTGTTTTCAGCAGAATTTCAGTTCCTGGAAGAATGAGGAGGCAGCAAGGCTATTTTTAACTTCTCCTAATGCTCTGTCCCGCAGTGTGTAGCTGCATTTGCTGTATCTGCTGTTGCTTCTCAGTGGGAACGCACTGGAAAGCCTTTCAACCCACTTCTGGGAGAGACTTATGAATTAATTCGGTAAGATCTTTCACACTATTCCAGGTGGATAGTTGAATTTCCATGATTTACATAGCCCTTCAAATGAAAATGTATATTTTTTGAGCATTTACCAACATTTTGTATGACTGAAGAAAGTTAACAATTTTGTTTGTTTCTGTGATATTTATTATTTTAGAAATTATGTCAAAAATATGAAAACATACATAAAATGAACCATTACAAGGATTTCAGTGTTCCTGATCTTGTGGGATTAGTTATCATCCTTTCTCCTTATGTAGACCATAAGGCATGATTGGGGTTTTTTTGGTTTTTTTTTTTTAATTAATTTATTTATTTTTGGCTGCATTGGACGTTGCTCAGCAACGAGGACGTTGCTGAGCACAGGCTTTCTCTAGTTGGGACGAGGAGGGGCTACTCTTCGTTGTGGTGCGCAGGCTTCTCATTGGGGTGGCTTGTCTTTGTTGCAGAGCACGGGCTCTAGGTGCACAGGCTTCAGTAGTTGTGGCTCACGGGCTCTAGAGCACAGGCTCAGTAGTTGTGGCGTACAGGCTTACTTGCTCCATGGCATGTGGGATCTTCCCGGACCAGGGCTCGAACCCGTGTCCTCTGCATTGGCAGGTGGATTCTTAACCACTGCGCCACCAGGGAAGTCCCTGGGTTTTTTTAATAACCATATAAAATATATTAGCATAAACTTACACTGTTGGCATACAGGCAATGAATGTATCTAGAGTTGCATTTCCTGCTGTAGCTTGCTTCTTTACACACAGGGAATTCATTTGGCTTTAGTTTTTCTGAATCTTTCTCTTCTCTCCACAAGTTTTGATCTCATTTATTCCTTAGATGTTTGTAAAGGAGATACATTAGATTCTTCAATCTTAATATAAATGGAATGATAAGTTTTAAATTTACATGGCTGATATTGTCAATTCATGAAAATCACCCAAATTCATGTGGGTGTTCTTTATTTTAATGTGTTTAAGTAGCTAGGTTTATAATAACATTGGTTTTAGTTGTTTGGGTTGCATATGTGCAATTGCTCGTGTGTTGTCCTTCCATCAGGATGATAACAAAGGATTGTTTACTTTGTCAAATCTATTTCCTTAATACTTTAACATTGCTTTTTCACTGAAATGACAGTAATGTATACATTCTGTGATAACAGTTTATTATATAACACTACCTTTTTTTGTTTGTTTTTTAAATCTTAAGAGATGACCTTGGTTTCAGACTCATCTCTGAGCAGGTCAGCCATCACCCACCCATTAGTGCATTTCATGCTGAAGGATTAAACAATGATTTCATCTTTCATGGCTCAATCTATCCCAAACTGAAGTTCTGGGGGAAGAGCGTAGAAGCAGAACCCAAAGGAACCATCACGTTGGAGCTCCTTGAGTGAGTCAGAATCACGCCTTTACCTCTTTTCATGTGTACCTACTCATTAGTATATACACTTGCACACAGTCTTGGCCTTGTTCAAAAGGTAGAGACAAAGAAACTGCTTTTATGAAGTGTAAATTTTCTACCATCATGTAAAAGAATTTGAGAAACATGGCAATAGCCATTGTTAATCAGCCTAGGTATGTGTAAAAAGTTTAACTTGATGTTTGACTGTGGTGTTTGTTTGGATCTGTTTTAAGATAAAACGGAGTTAATCACTGCATGACAGTTCTTATGAGACAAGCTTTCTATATATTATAATATTTTGGTTAACCATCTTTTAAAGTGAATTCACTTTGAGAAATATTGAAATAACAATCACATTGGTACATCTTAGACATTAGGTTAAGTTGAAAGTTCTCTTTTGCAATAGAAAGAAGATTGCTATGAAATACCTTTCCATTTATTTGTGTCATCTTCAGTTTCTTTCATTACTGTCTTGTTTTCAATATACAGGTCTTTCACCTCCTTGTTTAAATTTATTTCTAGGTATTTTATTCTTTTTGATGCAGTTGTAAATGGAATTAATTCTGTGCTCATGGATTGAAAAAATTAATACCGTTAAAATGTCCATACTATCCAAAGCAACGTACAGATTCAGTGCAATCTGTATCAAAATTCCAATGACGTTTTTCACACAAATAGACAATCCTGCAATTTTTATGGAATCACAGAAGACCCCAGATAGCCAAAGCAGTCTTGAGAAAGAAGAACAAAGCTGGAAGCATCATGCTCCCTGATTTCAAACTATATTACAAAGCTATAGTAATTAAAATATGTGGTATTGGCATAAAAACAGACACATAGATCAATGGAACAGAATAGAGAGCCCAGAAATAAGTCTATGCAAATAGGGTCAGTTAATTTATGACAGAGGAGGCAAGGATATACAACAGAAGAAGGACAGTCTCTTCAATAAATGGTTTTGGGAAAATTGGACAGGCACATACAAAAGAATGAAACTGGACCCCTCTCTTATACCATACACAAAAATTAACTCAAAGTGGATTACAAACTTGAACATACGACTGAAAACTATAAAACTCCTAGAAGAAAACATAGCCGGTAGGCTCCTTAACATAGGTCTTGGCAATGATTTTTTGACTCTGACACCAAAAAGAACAAAAGCAAATATAAACAAGTGGAACTACATCATACTAAAAAGCTTCTGCACAGTAAAGGAAACCATCAACAAAATGAAAAGGCAGCCTACTGAATAGGAGAAAATATTTGCAAATCATGTATCTGATAATGGGCTAACATCCAAAATATATGAAGAATGCATACCACTCAATAGCAAGAAAAAAAATCCAATTAAAAAGTAGGCAGAAGATCTGAATAGACATTTTTCAAAGAAGACATACAGATAGTCAACAAGTAAATGAAAAGATGCTCTACATCATTAACCATCAAGGAAATGCAAATCAAACCACAATGAGGTATCACCTCCCACCTGTGAGAAAGGCTAGTATCAGAAAGACTAGAAATAAATGTTGGTGAGGATGTGGAGGAAAGGGAACCCTTGTGCACTGTTGGTGGATGTAAATTGGTGCAGCCGCTATGGAAAACAGTTTGGAGGTTCCTCAAAAAATTCAAAGTGGAGCTACTATGATCCGGCAATTCCACTTTTGAGTATTTACCCAAAGAAAACAAAAACACTAACTCAAAAAGATATCTGCACCCCCATGTCATTGCAGCATTATTATACATATTATACATATTCCATACAACAGCCAAGATATGGAAACAACTCAAGTGTCCATCGTTGGATGAATGGACAAAGAAATTGTGGCGTGCACACACACACACACAAATATTACTCAGCCATAAAAAAGAATGAAATTTTGCCACTTGCAACAACATGGATGGACCTCAAGGACATTATGCTAAGCGAAATAAGTCAGAGAAAGTCTAGTACTCTATGATCTCCTTGTGTGAGAGAAAAAGAGAAAAGAAAGAAAAAACAATAAACAGACTCTAATCCCAAGGTGACTCAGATATTGAAATCTGTATCAAAGACTTTAAAGCAGCCATTATAACTATGCTTCATGACATAAAGATGAACTCTTAAAATGAATAGAAAGACATTGGAGCAAAGAAATGAAAGTATTTCTGGAAATTTTAGTACTGAAAAAATACAATAACAAAAGTAATAACTGGGATTGGCTCGATAGCAGGATGAAGACAATAAAATATGTTCACGATCCACATGCTGAAACTATAAGACACTGATGACAGTTATCAAAGGCTATGAGTAATGGGGAGTCATACTGTCTCACCACACTTGGAATCCTTAATATAATTCAGATGTTAGTTTTCCCATAATTGATCTATAAGCAATCTATATTAACACAATCTAAATGTAAAAGTCCCAGGATGATTTTTGATACATAAAATCCTAAAATTTATATGGAAGGGCAAATGAAACACTACAGCCAAAACAGTTTTGAAAAGGAAGAACAGAATTGATGGACTCCCACTTCCTAATTTTAAGACTTAACAGTAAAGCTGCTGTAATCAAGACAATGTTGTATTGACAAAAGGATAGACACATACATCAAGGGAACAGAGAATAGAGTCCAAAAACTGACCCACAGAAACATGGTCAATTGATTTTTGACAAAGGTAAAAACCCAATTCAGTGAAGAAGGATAGTCCTCTCCACAAATGGTGTGGGAACAGTTGGAAGTACGTATGTTAAAAAAATGAACCTCAACTTACATCTCACAGCTTAAACAAAAATGAACTCAAAATAGACCATAAGCTAAAATCTAATAATACAATTATAAGCTTTTGGAAGAAAACAGGAGAAAATCTTTATGACCTTGGATTAGGCAATGACATCTTGTGGATATAATACCAAGGCACAGTCTAGAAAAGACAAAATTGATAAATTAGATTTTATCAAAATGAAAAACTTGCTCAGTGAAAAACACTCTTCACAGAATGGAGAGAAGCCATAGATACATAAACATTATTTGCAAATCATTTATCAACAAAGGACTTGTATCTGGAATGTGTAAAGAATTCTCAAAACAATAAGAAAACAAACAACCCAATAAGAAATTGGGCAAAAGATGTGAACAGACACTTCACCAAAGAGATATATGGATGACAAACGAGCACACAAAAACATGCTCAACAGCATTAGTCATTAAAGAAATACATAATCATAGTGAGATACCACTACACACCTATTAGAATGTCCAAAATCAAAATAAGTTTTAGAACTGACAGTACCAAGTGTTGGCAAGGATGTAGAGCAACCAGAAATCTCATATATTGCTGGGGGGAATCTAAAATGGCAGAGCCACTCTGGAGAACAGAGTTAACCGTTAACTATGTTAACCAGATAACATAGGGTTACAGAGTTAACCCTATGTTAACCAGATGACTCCGCAGTCCACTCCTAGGTGTTTACTCTGGAGAAATAAAGACTTAACGTTTTCACAAAGACCTGTGCCCAGATGTTTATCGTACTATCACTCATAATCACCAAGCAACCCAACATCCTTCAGTAAGTAAATGGTTGAACTGTGATACATCCATACAGCAGGATACTACTCAGAAATAAGAGAGAGCAAATTATTGATAAGTAGAATTTAAAATGGATTATACAAATGAAGAAACTAATTTTGAAAGGTTACATGGTGTATCATCCCACCTATATAACATTCTGGAGAAGGCAGAACTATTGCAATGGAGAACAAATGAGTTGTTTAGGGACTAGGGTCGGGGGAGGGTTTGACCATAGCGGGGCAGCGTGAGCGAATTTGTGGATGGTGTGATGGAATCGTTCTATATTGTGATTATAGTAGTAGTTACAAAGATCTACACATGCACTAAAACTCACAGGACTAGATACACCAAGAAAAGTGAATTTTACTGTTTGTAAATTAAAAATAAATTTAGACATAAATGTACGAAGATGTAAAACGAATGTTTTCAAAAGCAAAGGATGTATAAAATTGGAGCTTATTCACATACACAAGTTTTTCCCTTTGGTGAACTAGAAAGTACTAAACAGACAGTTTCCTACTTCTAATTTAATTTTGTTTATTATGTTTTCGCCAAACTTTTGAATGCTTAAGATGATTATGTACATAGTTTAATTTGGAGTTTGGTAGAAAGATAGAATATTTTTCTTAAGCTTTTGTATCCTTTTAAGAAACAGTAAGAGGAGTCAGACGATACCTATTTTACTGTGATTAACACCAGCAGAGTTTTTTTTAGGGTCTTAGAGTTTAGTCATCTCCAGCAGTCTGATGTGTTATCCTGAGTAATAGCGTTTGAGGCAAATGCGCTTTTTAAACAGAGTAACACTTCTCACTTATTTTTCTGGGTTTTGGTTTTCTTTTTGCTCTCTAGACACAATGAAGCATATACGTGGACAAATCCTACCTGCTGTGTACATAACATCATTGTGGGGAAACTCTGGATTGAGCAGTACGGCAACGTGGAGATCACAAACCACAAGTGAGATGCTTCATCCTCCTCCCCTATCCCTTCAGTTGTCATCAGAGGGTGCCAGTAGTCTTTTTTAGAAAGCTCTAGTACAGCCTGATGATAATTTAAGAACCAGGCAGTATAGCTCTGGAGTAAATAAAGCCCATCTATTTAATGAACAGATTTTATGTTAAAGTTTCTGATTAGGGGAGACTGGTGAACTCAGAGCTTCTGCAGCCTTGGGGAATGTTCATTCCCGCCTCCTTCAGCTCATTTTGCTGATCCTGATTAGCTTGCATTGTTCACGTGGGGATGGGTGTCAGGAGAAACACGAAAGTTGAGAAGAGTTGGGTTCAAATCCTACTCTGTGACCTTAGGCCAGTGTCCTAGTTGGCTCGGGCTGTTGTAACAGAGCACCATGGGCCGAGTGGCTTCAACAGCAGACGTTTATTTCTCATGGTTCTGGAGGCTGGGAAGTCCCGGGTCAGGGTGCTGGCAGATTTAATGCTAGGTGAAGGCCCTCTTCCTGGCTTGAAGTTGGCCGTTTTCTCAAATCGTTGAATGCAGAGGGAAGGATCGTCTCCCCGTATCTCTTCTTAGAAGAACACTGATCCCATTCATGAGGGTTCCACCCTTATGACCTAATGACCCCTAAATACCCTCACGTGGGTGACTAGGGCTTCACTACATGAATTTGGTGGGCAAACATTCATTCCACAGCAACAAGTCCCTTATTTTTTATGAACCTTGCTTTACATTTTCTCCACGGCGGGTCCAGCACTGACGATGGGTTAATCTGATACTTTCTGTGTGGAGCCTGGCATGCGCGTTAGGAAGTCAGTAAGCAGCACCTGCTACGAAAACGGTTCTCACAGTCACTCTTCTCTCCTGCGGCTTCTGTGTTGAACGGTAACCTGAGCTCACTATCTCCTTTACAGGACTGCAGACAAATGTGTGTTGAATTTTAAGCCATGCGGCCTTTTTGGTAAGGAGTTACACAAAGTTGAAGGCTACATTCAAGATAAAAGGTAAAGTTTCCATTTTAAATGCTGACTGGTATAGGTGTCGTTCACTAAATAAAATGTTATTAAAATCTGCCATTACCTAGGAAACAAGCATTTCAGTGAATTGAAAAACTTTTTCTTCTGCAAGGAAATATTTATTTCTTTAAAGAATCCGATTTGTAAGCATCTTTATAATAATATTCAATTACAGCAAAACGCTGGTTTAATTGCTGGCTAAACATCAGTTTCTCTTGACAGCAAAAAGAAGCTCTGCGCCCTCTATGGGAAGTGGACAGAATGTTTATACAGTGTTGACCCTGCCACATTTGATGCTTACAAAAAAAATGATAAGAAAAATACTGAAGAGAAGAAGAACAGCAAACAGGTGAACACCCCGGAAGGTGGCATCGAAGGAATCACGGGACTCTTTAAATTTGTACTAATCCTTTGGGAAGTGGCCTGTTAGCGGGTCACAGTGTGACCTCTTATACTTGGTGCTAATGCATGTAATTTTTCTCCTTGAACCTTCTTAATGAACCAGTTATCTGCCTTGGTAGCGAATGTTTGACATGATCTCCTGTGGAGTATGGGTGTGTGCCATGCAGTTATACACGCGGCGTAGAGCTCAACGTTGCTTTGTAAAGTTGGAGTTCATCTTAGTGAGACCAGTGTCCTTGTCCTCCTTTCTGTTTATGTGCATTAGCAGTTGAGATCATTTGAATATTTGAAATTTCACCCAGAATGATCACGTACGTTTTCATGCTTGCAGCAGTTGTGTTGCCCTTTTGTATCCGAGATCCCTGAAGCTGAGAGCATCGCAGTTAAGGGATTCATTCCTGGACGGCTGTCCTCCTCTTACTAAGCGTTCTCCTAACGGGACAGTTTAACGTTAGACTCTCCCCGTGTGAGGCCACAGGTTTTCGTCGCAGGGCCCCGGGAGGCTGGACCGCTCAGCAGACTGAGCTAAAGAGAGCTTGCACCTATTTGGACAGGAAGCGTCGGAGGACTGATGACTTTCCAGTAACGGACATCACGATTCAGAGCACGAGCTCTGCTTAGAATCCCGCTTCTCCCACTTCTGAGTGGTTCAGTCTCGGGCAGATTCCCACCCTCTCTCCGCCTCAGCACCTTCATTTATAAAATGGGTACAGCAATAGCACCCACATGTCAGATGAGTTGACGGAGGTCAGGGGTTCCTGGTGAGGACAGCTCAGGACCCCCGTCTGCTCTGAGCATCACACCGGCCACCGAAGCACCGTCTCAGAGCTTCCAGTTCCCCTCGCCCCACCGTGTCGAGCTCTCTGGGGCCCTTCAGGTGACTCTTACACATGCAAGAGTTTAGGAAGCCCCTAACCTTCCTCAAAAACAGAAGGTGTATGTCTGAGTGGCTTTCTTTGTAAACCGGTTACTGGGGTCCCGGGGACAGAGCAGCTGGTGCAGTTGACGGCAGTGGCACTTCCCTGGCTGGGCCCTTCTCCCCTCCCTCTGCCTCCATCTCTGGGCACAGTCCACTTTTCTCCTCCGCCTGGATCTCCGCTGCTTCTCCTTCCTTCCGGGGGTTGCACTGACGCTTCTCTGCAGTGACCCCAAGACTGACAGGGCTGGAGAAGGAATGCTCCAGGATCCCAGGCCTCAACCCGAACTCCTGGGCAGTGGCTCAGCCAACACAAGGCAGCTTGGTGAAGACATGGCCTCGTCCTCCTTTTACAGAGGTGGGGGGTGGCAGAGGAGGGCCTTGGCGAAATTCCAGAAAATCCCCCTCATGTCCCGAAAATCCCTGGTCAATCTTTGTAGAAAAACGGCCTTGCCCCTTGGAGAGAGAAGTCAGCCTCATGCTCACCCTGTGTCTACTCTTGCCTCCCGTGTGCATCAGCCACCGTGGATTTCTGATGTTCCCGAGCGTATTTAAATGCCTTGGGGGAGCTTGTCACCAGTGTTGTCCCTCCCTGCTGCTGTTTTTAAAGTTGCATATCTCAGCCAGTAGTTCTAGATTTGGTAACTGTGACATTGGGAATATGACTTGTCTTTCCAAAGGCTTAAATTCTTTATATATAAAACTTCATGGGTGGGCTTCCCTGGTGGCACAGTGGTTAAGAATCCGCCTGCCAATGCAGGGGACACGGGTTCGAACCCTGGTCCGGGAAGATCCCACATGCCGCAGAACAACTATAAGCCCGTGCACCACAACTACTGAGCCTGCGCTCTAGAGCCCGCGAGCCGCAACTACTGAGCCCACGAGCCACAACTACTGAAGCCTGCACATCTAGAGCCCGTGCTCTGCAACAAGAGAAGCCACCACAATGAGAAGCCCGCGCACCGCAACAAAGAGTAGCCCCTGCTCGCCGCAACTAGAGAAAGCCCACGTGCAGCAATGAAGACCCAACACAGCCAAAAATAAATAAATTAAAAATAAATATTTTTTAAAAAAAATTATTTAAAAAACTTTATGAGTTTATTACATAAGGACTAAATATACAGAGAGCTGCTAGCAGCTCTGCCAGGTTGGGGGGGGGGCGTGCAACCAGAGGAAATGTTAGTTTCTTTTTTAGCCTTACATCTTTTTGATTGATTGATTGATTATAAATTCATTTTTTTATTTTTGGCTGTGTTGGGTCTTCGTTGCTGTGTGTGGGCTCCTCATTGTGGTGGCTTCTCTTGTTGTGTAGTATCAGCTTCAGTAGTTGTGGCACTCAGACTCAGTAGTTGTGGCTCGCAGGCTTTAGAGCGCAGGCTCAGTAGTTGTGGTGCACAGGCTTAGTTGCTCCGCGGTATGTGGGATCTTCCCGGACCAGGGCCTGAACCCGTGTCCCCTGCATTGGCAGGCGGATTCTTAACCACTGAACCACGAGGGAAGCCCCTAGCCTTACATCGTTTTAAATTCTCTTTTTATAGAATGCTTTCAGGATCCCTACTGGTTTGTGTTGTTGATAAATTTAGTTAAATGCTCCAAGGATTTAATCTTTTCTTGCTCTCATAATGTTCCAGTCAATACTTAAATGAGTTATTTTTGGCTTTAAAAAAAAACTTTAAAAATATTACAACATGATAGTAAAGGCATGATGATGGTGATGATAATGTCTGGAATGCACAGAACCCTAAATGAGACAACACACAAGGCTCACGAGGCTCACAGCGCTTACTCACTAGGCCTGCATTTATTGGCTCCCTGGCCTGTGTTGAAAGGTGAGGATGTGAGAAGGAGAAGGTCATGGTGCCCCGGCCCTCGACAGTTACATCCTAATGCTGTGCAGTCAGCGGTGTTTATTTTACAATTTGCAAGTATATTCTTTTGAAAACATTTGTTCATCTGTTGGTTCTTCTAGATGAGCGCTTCTGAGGAGTCAGATGAAATGCCAATGCCAGATTCCGAGAGTGTGTTTGTCATCCCTGGGAGCGTTCTCCTGTGGCGAATAGCCCCGCGGCCTCCCAATTCGACCCAGGTGAGGCTGGGCGTGCTGAGTGCGGCCTCCTGTTTACTGGGCTCTGACGGTGCTTTTTCCCCGGCCCAGGCGGGACCAGGAGGAGGCGGGTGGTCATCAAAAGCTCCTAAGTCGTCCCTCTGTGGCTTCTAACCCGGGACGGGGCATTCGTGCCGTCCAGGCCTCCTGGTGTCTGGCTGGCCAGGACGCCTTGGCGTGAGGCTTTGGGGGGCTTCCTTAACAATTACTGAGGGGCAAGACTGACTGTCGTTAAATGCAAGGTGATGCAGCCAGATCTAGCAAGTAAGGATTTAAGTGAAGAACAGAGAATGTTGGGTTTGCTTGTATCTCTCCTTCGAGGTGATGGTGGTGGAAGCTCTTCATGCTGGGAGGCCTGCTGGGGGGCTTTCTTTGAGACAGATTCCCACAGGTGGCGCAGACTTGGGTGAAAACACTGAGATGTGTGGTCTGAGAAAGGCCGTCGTCAGCACAGAACGGGGTCACTGTCAACTGTTTCTGCCTTCAGGGTTTCATTCTGCGTTATGCCCCGGTATATGTTAATTTGAACATTTTCTTCTTTTCAGATGTATAATTTTACTAGCTTTGCAATGGTTTTGAATGAAGTAGACAAGGAAATGGAGAGTGTGATTCCTAAGACAGACTGCAGGCTACGTCCTGACATCAGAGCCATGGAAAATGGGGAAATAGGTAACCAGCACCTGATGGCAGCACCAGTGAAGATTGATTTCTTTGAGGAGGGTGGTTGGTTTTACTCCTGGTCACTGTCAGCACTTTACTATGTTAGCACAACCATCTTTAGTCTCTCTTAGAGACTTTTTTTTAAAGTATTTATTTATTTATTTGGTTGCTCCGGGTCTTAGTTGCGGCACGTGGGCTCCTTAGTTGCGGCAGGTGGGATGTAGTTCCCCGACCAGGGGTGGAACCCCTGCCCCCTGCATTGAGAGGGTGAAGGCTTAACCACTGCGCCACCAGGGAAGTCTCTAGAGATTTTTTTTTTTTAATTAAAATTCAATTTAAATTCAGAAACTTTGGTTTGAAATTTGGGAATCTGAGGTGGACCTCAGCAGCTCATATTTCATTGTCTCAGTGATACTCCCTAATTTAATGTAATACATACGGCCAGAGGCATATTTTACATATCAGAGGAGAATTGGGGACAATAATATCACATTTATCAACTTTTAACTACATTCTGACTAGTTATTTCACTACATATTTCAGAATTTAAATAGCACCTTGTGAGCCTCAAAGAAGTGCTTGGCCTTGGTTAATTCTGACATTTTATTTTGTGCTTTTACATTTCTTATTCAGTGGTTCTCAGAATGGGGGCAGTTTTTCCTCCAGGGGACGTGTGGCCGAGTCTAGAGACTTTGGCTGAAACATCTGGGGAACTGCTGCTGGCATCTAGTGGATGGGGCCTTGGGTGCTGCTAACGTCCTGCCGTGCCCAGGACAGCTCCCTACGAAGAATCATGGGGTGCAGTGTGTCAGCAGGGTCGAGGCTGAGAAACCCTGCTCTAACTAAACACTGACCCTCCCCGTGAATTATCAGTGAGACAGTGCGACAGCGCTTTGGAAAACGGTTTGAATTTCTTACGAATGGAATCTGGAGAAGCTCTGTGAGGTCTCGCTAAGAATTTAGAAAATTTTCACGTGTATTCAGTTTTTCCACCCAATTTTTCACTGAAGCATTTTAACATGATTTTTTTTGGCCTTAAGAGTAAGCCGGCACCTTGGGTAAATGCAGAGGTTGTTAAGGGCAAAAGCTGTAGGAGAGGACCGGGTCTTGCGTGCGAACCTGGGGATATGTTAAAATTTTGACAGGATAAATTTCGTGGTGTTCGTGTTCTGATAAGATGGAGATGTGCTGATACCTGACTCCATAAAGTGATGGTGCTGAGTGCTGTGCCGGGCAGTCTCTACGTGTAGAGTAACGGTTTTCACTGCTGTGCTGATTCTAGATCAAGCTAGTGAAGAAAAAAAGCGACTTGAGGAGAAACAAAGAGCGGCCCGCAAGAACAGGTCCAAGTTGGAGGAGGACTGGAAGACGAGGTGCGATGAGGAGCTTGGGGGGGGGGGGGCAGGGTTGGGGGGGCTGGCAGACGGGGGACTGCAGAGCCTGGCTCACTGCACCCTGCGAGTTGTCAAGTATTTTCCACTGGCTAAGTTCAAGCTGAAAGGGCCGCATGTGTGCAAAGAAAAAGGACTGTTTGGAAGGAAAGGTTAAAACGTTCCTACACAATTACCACAGGAAGTGTCAGTTACGCAAACTACCTTTCCTTCTTCTCCAGCAGAACACTGTCCCTTCTATTTTTAAGAGGGAAGGCAGAGTTACAGATTTTGGCATGAAATAGGTTCAGAGCCATTTGCTTATATATGAGTAAATTACAGGGCCATTAGCTTATTACATATATCATGTATCACGGATATTTAGACAATGCCTTTACTCTTCCAAACACAAGGGACTTGACATGTCGTGGAAATACGATTTGTTAAAGTGACATCTTGGATTCCATTCAGCAACAGAAACTGGGCAATAAAATTTGCGAATTTTGAAAGTGTTCTTTTTAAGAATCAGGAGTTACTTAGTCACTTGTATTGAGTAATAGAATCTCTTGTAAATAGGAATAGAATAAAAACATTTTCTACATTTATATTATGTAGTAGAAGCTGTTGTCCCATTATTCAAAGTTATTAAATAAAGTTCAGAGCCAATATGGGCATAATTTCACAAGCAGTTTAGTAGATATTTTTTGGTAGCCCTTTTGCGTCTTACACAGTTATTAGAACTAGAAATGACCTTAGATGGCATCTAGTCCAGTGGTTTTTGGACTTTTTTGTTAGCATCAAAATCTTTTTTGCCAACGAACACGTAAAGAATCTACAAATATAGAACACATGGCCACCAGGCTGCTCGGGTGGGAGCTGAGCGGTAGGGCTCGCCTTCTCCCACCCACACACACGCAGGATCTGGGAAACCACTGGAAAGCCATTAGTCTGGAAGTCCCCTCGTTGTATGTGAAGAAACCAAATGCTGGTGTATTTCATTTAAGAGACTCGCTCAAGGACAAGTATGCCGCAGACCATGATTAGAAAGAACCACAAAAACCAAAAGCACGTTGCTTTCCTGCAATCCCTTCTGAAAAGATTTGATAGATTTTAATCATTGTTTCTAGTCTCTTCTGCGGAAAACTCACTCTGTACCGTATTTCTAATTTGTTTTGTTTTGTTGGCCACAGTGCACAGCTTGCGGGATTTTAGTTCCCCAACCAGGGAATTGAATCCCGGGCCCACGGCAGTGAGAGCACCAAGTCCTAACCACTGGACCACCAGGGGATTCCCTGTTTCTGATTATTAACTCCTTTATTTTTCTGGCCACATTTTCAAGTGTGCAAAGTAAGAGAAAAGTATTACTGTCAGGTAAAGTCCTACGTGCAGAAAGTAAGGAGCTTTAGACAGCTCTGTGTTAGCCTGAAAATAAAAACTAGAAGCTACGTTTGTGAGCTCCACTTTGGAGCCTTACACATGCTTGCTTCCACTGCTGTCTCTTAGCACCAGTAGTTCTTATATGAATATACAGACCTTAAAAATGACCCTACTGACCCTTTGTCCAAATGAATATGTGCTTGGAGTCTTTTTCCAGTAGTGGTGAGAGGTGGCCTTCACTGACTGGGTCTACTCCTGGCTGATAACGTGCTTTTTGAACAGCATGGTTCAGTTTGTGTCGGGGCGGGGATGGGGCAGTTTGTAAAGGAGCATGTTCTGCCAGGTAGAGCTGAAACCAGCCCTCAGAAATCAAACCCAGAACCTTATTGTGTAACCTGTCCCCAGTTCTTCCACACTAAAAGCTGGCTTTCCTGTTGACACCAGTTTCACTCATTTGAAAAGAGTTCCAGCTTTGGGATTTTTCAGGCTTTAAACTGTGGTTCCTGCATATGGAAATGGCTGCTTGTGATCCTGCCCTGTTTTCCTAGAGGAGCCCAGAGACCTTAATAAGTGGGGTTATGCGGGGAGAAAGTGGGGGGACTGGCGATAGACACAGGATTTGAAGAGAAGGTGGGTGGTGAGGCCAAAAAAATTTGATGACGTCATCTCTTCCCCCAATGCAAGCATCGTGCAGAATTAATATTTTACCTAATGTTATTTTACTGATATGGACCCATGGACTCTGTAGACTCAGAAACATTGACTAAAGGGTAACAAAGAACAGACATCTCCTCACCCCCCCTCCCTCCTTTTCTTTTGCCTCTGCTTGCCTAAAATGTTTAATAAGACTTTGAAAAGACAGCATGGACTTTTTTGTATGTGGAGGGGGGTGCACTGATGGCAGCAGAGTTTTCCAGACGTGAGTGCTGGAAATTAAGAGACTAGATGTTGAGAGAAACTCTAATCCCTAGTATCAGACCTTCAGATCCGAGGTGCTCATCTTTCGTGCTATGTTGCAACTCTCTCCAAGAAGTGCTCCCCGAAGGGAGGCCTTGCAGACATGGCCTTTAGAGCACTTGGCTTATGTGTGAACAAAAATACATTCTTTGCTATTGAATCTACTGTTCTGCACAGTCTCTTTGCACTTGACTTTCCAGTTGTCCACTTTGTATGGAAGAAATCCTGTGGCACAGGCCTGAGGCTTGGTTAATTTTTAGAATTTTTTTGGTTACCTTGATTTTGATTTGCCTGATTTTCTGAAGTGCTTGATTTTACTAAGCCTGACTACAAAAGTGCTTTTACTACGTGGACTTTTGAGACCAAAAGGAGTAAAATTATATACTTCGTATTAGACAAAAATTCTGCGACTTTGATCAAACAGTGGTTCCTTAAAGTATTTCCAGCTTGGTTACCAAAGTCTGAAACACACATATCTTGATCATTTAAAGTAGACTTCTAATTTTTCTAATTAGGGAAAAGTCCCAAAAGCAAAATAATATATGTAATATTCTAGAAAATCTGGCCTAGTGGGCATTTACTATATCAGTCTTCAAGGAATTAGCCTCATCTGAAGCATTTTTTGTGTCTTCGGGTTTTTAGTGCTGCTGCAGTGATTAATAGGACCACTTGGGACTTAACCAAACAAATCTAAGCTCACTCTAATTGTTAAGTATTTTTAGAGGCAATTTATTTGGAAAGAATGACAAAGACATACGAAACTGTTTTCATAAATATTACTGAAAACTAAATCATATTAGAAAATGTTATACAAATTGAAATTTGAACCTTTTGAACAAATAATTTTTCATTTCCATTACCCAGAGAAAGCTGGGAATGTGGAAAATGGATGACTTGTTATTTATTTATTTATTTATTTTTATGAATTTATTTTTGGCTGTGTTGGGTCTTTTTTGCTGCGTGCAGGCTTTTCTCTAGTTTCGGCGAGCAGGGCCTACTCTTCGTTGCAGTGTGCGGGCTTCTCACTGTGGTGGCTTCTCGTTGCGGAGCACGGGCTCTGGGGCGTGCGGGCTTCAGTAGTTGTGGCGTGTGGGCTTCAGTAGTTGTGGCTCGTGGGCTCTAGAGTGCAGGCTCAGTAGTTGTGGCACACAGGCTTAGTTGCTTCGCGGCATGTAGGATCTTCCTGGACCAGGGCTCGAACCCGTGTCCCCTGCATTGGCAGGCGGATTCTTAACCACTGCACGACCAGGGAAGCCCCATGACTTGTTTTTTAAAGGGCAAGAAAATTAGGGCAGCTCTTTCTAGAATTTGAAAAATGTTAAAATCTAGATGCAGCCTATGAATCTCTATTAGTATGGAGAAAATGAAGACCCAGGAAGATCTGGATCAGATTAATTTCAGTGGATTATGTGTAACAGTATATTTGACAAATCATGGTCTTTAACAACTTTGATATCAGTGACTAGCTTGGGCAAGTTATTTAACTTCTCTGACATTGAGCTCCTCATTTGTAAAATGAAACTAAGAGTTTGGTGGTGGGGTGGCATTTACTCTGAATCAGGCACCTTCGTATTACTGTAGGTAAGTGGTAAAAGTTAATTTCCGTATTCTAATTCCTTATTCCCCATTGCTTGATAGAATGCGTTTAAGGAATGGGCCTAGGTGAACAATTAGACAAGTACTGTTGCTGAATGCTGTGGAAAATCCTTAAACCTTTTGGGTGGTCTCATTACATATTTCGGAAAATTATTCTATATATGTGCTCTCTAAAAGCACTTTAAAGTCTCTTCGGAAATCCCTGACTCACAGGACAAAGTGAATCGCTGCAGTAGGGGAGTCTGCAAGCTAGTGAAGCAGCAGGGACCCTGTGATCGGGAACAGTTTCCCCCATAACTGTTGTTTTTCCTCTTAAACAGGTGGTTCCATCAAGGTCCTAATCCCTACAGCGGAGCCCAGGACTGGCTTTACTCGGGCAGCTACTGGGACAGAAACTACTTCAATTTGCCTGACATTTATTAAAACATAGACAAGTTGGGGCATTTGGCTAATCTACAGATAAGACTTAAACCTGTGTTTTAAAATTTTCTTCTTTGATTTCTACTCATCTTTTGAAAAGAGAAAAAGTCCTCTCATGATAACTTGCATTTCACCCAACAAAAGTAGGGCATAAGGTGGATACTGGTGATGAAAGTCTTTGGAAAAATGGGTAATTTTGCTACTATTTTATCTAGAGATATGGGAAACTGTTGGAGAATATGCTTTTTGATGGTTGCCATATTCACTGAAGGTTTATACCTAAATGTAACTTTAGCTTTATGGAATTATATAGTAACCCAAATCAAGTTATTTTGAATATTTTTAGGCTGTCATGCTTGAATGTTTTAGATTTAACTTCGAAATGTTTAGAATTCTCCTATATGATGTTTATATGCTCAAATATAGAGGTTATGCCATCTTGTAAAGACTGCATTGAAAAGATGGCTTTTCTTCTTACTAATCCTCTCAATTTTACCCCTTCCCACCTCTAAAAAGAAAAATAATCCTGAATGTTCAGAAGAGAGATTCCTGATTTGAAAATTCTAAACTGGAAAAGGTATTTCGTTTGCTTATTTTAGTGCTCTGATTTTACTTTTACAATGTTCTATAATTAATGTCATCAGAATTCAAATGTTTGAGTTGTACATGTTTGAATTGAAAATATGTATAAAACCTAGCAATTCACAAAAATACCCCAGAAATATAGATTTTAGTCACCATCATTACATAATGAGAAACCTTTTTAAATGCTTCAACTCCCAGTGGCAAATGCCACCAGAGAAATTCAGTTGTACTCATGTATTGTAAGTATCAGACTATATAAAAGGAGGTCTTGTGCATTTCAAGTTTGCAAGGCACCTGTGTACTTAAGATACGTATGGAGACCTACTTGTACAGTAGCTTTGCCCCTTTAATTGGGGTACATTAATCTTACGGTATTTATCTACCCAACCCCAGACTGAGATATTGCTCCAGGGGGCCTTAGGTAGCTGCCAGTAAGTTATTTTAATGGCTGTCGTGAAGTTAACAAGTGTTATAATGAAATAATCTACCTGATGCTAAATAAAGGCTTTAGAATGTTCAAAACAGTGTGGTCTCTTTTAAACTTTGAAATATTCTAATGCTGCACTTAATAGGATGCCAAATTGTCAGGTGTCCTTACAAGAAAGTTAAGTCCTTGTGCTGCCACCGTCCCCAGGGCCAGAGCTCACCCCCGGGCTCACGTGCTAAGTAGGCAGTTAGCACTCACTGTTCTCTGGGTAAATACAGTATTTATTAGAGCAAGGTACCACTGTCTTCACTTGGTGTGAATGCCAAATACAGAATTATCAAGTGGAATACCTTGATAGTGGAAAGTTTTTTTTTACAATGTATATGAGCATTGGAAAATGCTATTGTGTCATATCACAAGTCTGAAAATATTTAGGACCTGTTGTGTTCAGATGTTTGTACACTGCCTAAATTATAAAATAAGCAAGGCGAGGAGGTTTTGTGCTTGCATGAAGTTTATTGATATATTACGCTTGGTGGCAGACTCCACCTTGAAGGTCAGCTCAAACAGTGTCATCTTCGGCACCTGTTAGGAATAAATAGTGACTTGTTTAATCATAAAACTGAACATGTAAAATGAGTGGATGATCAGAAATGCAGGTTCTAGCCTGCTCTCCTGCTAAGCTCTTAACTATGTTATCTGTGCACTAAGATATCCTAGCACCTCGTGCCCAAAATGGCCATTTTGACAGAAGTCTAAAGGGTAGGAGTAGGTAAATGCTCATAGTCCTAAGATATTTTCAAAAGTCTCCTTAAGTATAGTAACTAACTGTGGTACTTGAACCTGCCTAAAACTGAAATCTAGCTTTTGTCCGTCAGACGTGCAGCTGCTGTCATTCTTCTGGCTCCCCACTGAACTTTCAGCCCCAGTCTCTTCGTTTGGGAGGCAGGGCCCTGAGTTACGTGGTCCCCTCTTCACGTCTGACTTCACCGTATGTGCTCTCCCCAGCTCCTCCCAGCCTGTCTCCTTGCGGCCAACTTGCAGAGTCTTAAGCCCCATGCTCTTTCCTGCCCTTGGCCTCTGTCTGTGGGCTCCTTCTCCTGTGCAGACGTCAGTTTACATCTATGCCTGAACACCCCATCTAATAGAGGGCCTGGATCAGTACTACTGGTTTTCTTCCTAGTATCATTTACTTTCCTAAGGTGTGGCTGCATGTTTTGCTTGCTCTGCTGTACGTACACACCTGGGGAAGGAGAGGCTAGTGCTGTATGTGGTAGTAAGTACTGGTTGAATAAAAATTTTTTAATGATTTGTGAGTGATAAAAACTTATCTATGGTTAACACCACTTGTCCCTTTAGCTCATGAATGTGTTTCCAACCTATCCATTCTGCTGTAAGTATTCACTGTACAAGGGAGCAGACTTACCGCATTGACTGGGTGCTCCATATATAATCTCTCACCTTGTCCTCCCCGCCCCTTAAACCTGCCAACTAGATTATAAAATTCCCACATGAGACTGTCTTGTCTGTATGTTAACCCGTCCCTTTGGCATCTTCTGCGGGGCTCAACACAACGCCAGGTTTTCGGAGGTAGCTGAGGCGGTCGCTTGGTTACGTGTTTTAGGCACCAGACCCTCGGTGTGCGGTGCAGTGCGCCTGCCGTGTGCTGAGTAGTAACGTGGTAGGGAGGTGGGGCAATCACCACGTCGGATCCAAGCGCACCCCCCGCTCACTGCGTGTCTCAATTCAGTGTCTTAAAATACCTCAGTCTCTAGGTCAACAGATCAACCTGCTTGAAAACTCAAGTGTGTTAAGGCCCACATATCATGGGAGGAGAATTTACCTGCCAGTTTCAAGTTTCTGCTCTGCGAACATTGGCAGTAGTCACAGTTATTTCTCCAGCAATACCGTAACTTCCAAAGGGAGGACATTTGTCACCAAATCCTGAACGTTTTTTGGCTACATCTTCTACCGGGAAAGCGACAGAAAGAAAAACTGGACTTTGTGGTCTGGGGACATCTTGTCCACTTGTAGGAGGATTAGCATTCTGGGGATTGGGGGTGTGTTTCTGGAATTTCTGATCTGCAGGAACAGCAATGGGTACTTGCACTGCAGCGTATCTCTTCAAGGCATCTGACTGGGAAACAGCGTGTCCAGGAACAGGCTTCCAATCCTGTGCTTCCTGAACATTTGAGCCCACTAAAATAAAAGGCGGGGCACTGGTCTTCTTACTGTCCATCATCCCGTAAGTTGGAGAAGTAACTTTTGGTGGATGCTGCAGAAACTGTGGATCCTTAGAATTAGGTAAATAGAGGGTTGCTTGGGGGAAAGACCCAGGTGCAGGTGGTGGTGATGGGCGACTTTGTTGACTCATATCAGTTAGACAATAAAGGGTCCACATGTTAGAATATGGTGGTGGTTGTCCTGCTTCGCTTGCTGCTATTGCTATAAAAAAAAAAATTTGCAGGTGTTAAAGATTTGGTCTCTGTATCAGGCGCTATGCACAGAAATGGTTTTTTTACATATAAACAAACGGCTGTAGTAATATGTGCCATAAAGCATGCTATAGAGAGGGCTAAATAAATGGTGTTTGGTAATGTGAAAGAAAAGAGATTCTCTACAGTCAAAAACGAGAACAGTGTTGTGATAGCCAGTGGCACGGACACTAGGGTTGTGGCTGAGAAGCAATCTCATTCTAAGTTGCTGTTTCCAGGAACTTAACTGCAGACATGGCTTCTGCAGGGTCCTCAGAGGAAATGGAGAATCAACAATTCTGGCTCTACCAAAAAAATCAACTGAAGAGTGTGTTAAGCCATTGAAAAAAGCATTAAAAAAAGCACTGATGTGTCTGCATAGTGATTGTTCTCTTTACGGAAGAAGTCAGCACTACGTGTCATCTTTTGATCACATAATCAAGGACCTCTGGCCCTTTGCAGGCGGCATCGTCTCCCATCAGTTTGTCACTACACACAAAACATCACATAATCTAGGACTCGGAACCTGAGCACTGCTCCCTCTTCGGCAAGGCTTGAAATCATAGGTCCTGGGTGGCAGTAGAAGGCTGGTTGGTCGCACAGTGGATCTTTAAGTAAAAACAGGTCTCGGAGGGCCGTCCGTCTACTTACACCAAGGCATCTACCGTGTCAAGTTAGACTTGCCTAATTGAAGACAGTGCCGTCTTGGAGAACGAGTCCCAGAAGCTGGGACGGAGGAGCAAAGGTTCCTGATGGAGGAGCTGCACTTGGCCCAACTGTGCTGAGTCACCCTCTGAACACGGCACGCATCCCTAGTGCAGCTTTGTTTTCTTCCCCAGAAAAGAAAATAACACTATGCACACAATTAAGCTGTGTTTTCAATAGCTTCAGATGCTTTCAACTGATAGTTCTGGAAGCTAATTAAAAATGTGCACGAGCCCAGTCTTCAGGTTTTTGTGAAATGCCCTTCGTGCTCTGGACATAGTGAAGCACTTGGGAAGAGTAACTTGGGAGGGAAGTGCTGCTTTAGGCCACAAGTGTAATGCCAGCCCCACAGACTACGTTCCAACACTGCCCTCTGCCTTTTCAGCTGCGCAGAATCCGTCACACTGCCAGACAGAATTTGATCTCTAAACACCTGCTGTGGTAACACTTTTTTATCATTCTGGCTCTGGTAAGAGTCAAGGGTGAGAGAGTTTCTGCAAAAGGAATGGCGGGGTTGGTTCCTGCACGTCCCACCTCCCTAAACGGATAAGGGCCGCTGCACTTGCCTAGATGGATTGGGAGGGTGAGCAGACCAAATGCCATAATTAGATCGAGATGGGAGGTCAAACCGTGTCTGTGTCACAGGAAAGCGGTAGTGATAGTTCAGCAGCCAAGAAAGCAGCTTGATTTGGGCGCCTGTCGGGGAACCGATGGAAGGAAGCCGGCCAGCTTCGCCGCGTCCATCCTTTCTGCTGCTGCTAGCTCCCCGCTCCCCTGGGTGACACAACTTCAGCTTGACCTTTCCTCTCTCCATCCAGCTATGAAGCCGCTCCCTCAGCTGCGGGAAGCTCCCAGGCGGGACGTCAGGGCTTGACCAGCCCCCAGACCAGGTTGCAGAGTTCTCCCACCTCAGCGCAAAAGCAGTCAAACGCACCACCATTTCTTTCACGTTTTTAATGCCATCGCCTGTGTAAATACTTTATCGTCATTTGATTTTACTTTTACAGGTGAGAGATTTCAAACCAACACCCCTTAGTTATGGTTTTGCAGGAGTATCCAGATCACATGAACGTGTTTTACAGCTGACAACAGGCTCTACCATTTTGCACCACATAGTATGTCCAAAACAACACGAAAGTGCTAGATGACCGAACTTTGAGGCCAAGCAGTGGTGACGTTGCTTTAAAATCACTCATCTCGTAAGAGTAAAATCTCAGATACAACAAAGTCTTTAAATAGGTTTGGCATTTTAACTACTACTAAAAACAAAGCTTTTTGACCAATCTGCAGGGAGCCTACCTAGATGGTCACCTGAAATATAGATGTCACTGGAAGCACCGTTTTAAATTTTGTAAGTAATTATCTTACCTGGCTCCGTCAAACCTTGTTTAGGTGCTACTTCCCATTCTGGTTCGATTTCTGGTTCATTAAGACCTGGAACAGGAGGTTGGGGGCCACTAGATGATCTTACGGACGCACCTGAGCGCACTACTTGTGCAGCTTCCCCTGAGAGCGCGGGTTTGACCTCCGTCTCCTGGGACGCACGGTTTTCCCATGAGTCCTCCTGCCCAGCACTGCCAGGGGCCAGCGCAAAGATGTCCACTTCAAGGTGCACAGATATTTCAGAGCTCACTGTTGTGGCAGAGCCGTCTGCCTCCACATGTACTGAGGAGTCATATTTTGCACTCTCCAACTGCACAAAGTTTGCAGAACCCACAGATTTTTCAGACACGTGTGAGGCTGTCTTGCCTACTACAAGTATGGGACTAAGGGGTGGTGACTGCTCATTTCCTTTAAGACAAGCAACATGATCAGAAAAGGGGATAACTGTTTGTTCCAGTATTTGCTCAACATTAGTAACTCCTTCGATCACAGGCTCATCTTTATAGATAGATGCTATGTGCGTGGTGGATGGCACCTCAATAGCAGCCTGCAAAGGGACCTGAGGAGCTTGACTGTGAGCAGGAGGTTCTTGTTCATCCTGCAAGGGGAATGAGGAAGCCATTGGTGGTTCAGCCTTATGGTGTTTAGGTTTAGAACCCAAATCTACATGGACAGATGTCTCGCTCAGAACCTGCACTGCTGCCATCTCTCCAGAATGCACAGGAGTGGCCACCACATCATCTTCAGCAGCCTCTGAGCTCAGCATCTCCTCGGGAAAAACGGGCATACTTGTTGCCACGTCCACCATTAAAATTTCAGAGTGATGTGAATGAACCGAGGAAACATTACCTAACATCTGAGCAGCAAACTGAGCTGGGTCTGCAGGGACATAGGCCAGCTCGGGTGAGACAGCTGCTGGCGACGGCGGTGAGGCCGGGGTGGCATTCTCAGGGGCGGTCGGTTTCGAAGGAGCACGAGCTACTTCAGGGGCGCCCTCAGGCTCTGAGAGCAGCTCAGCATGAACTGACGGGAACTGCGTGGTTTTGTTGCTAAGCTGTGGTGCAGTTATGTTGTCCTCCTCTGTATCCGTAGATTTTTCCATCCATTTAGGTTCTTGGGAAACTGTAGATGTTCTTTCTGGCTCTTTCACACATTCTGGTTTCTTCTCTTGTGCCATTCCTTCTGACCACTTCTCCCCTAAAAAAATGAGAGTTAGATGGGTTAATAAGTACTTATTCCCCAAAAAAGGAATTATGAAGAAAGCATAGGTTGAGCTTTCAAATGTCAATATATACGCAAGTACAAAAGAGTTTTGCTTTAGTTTCCAACATCTGTAACTTCACTGTGGGCAAAACAAAACCTTCCTGTCCTTATCCACTCAAAAGACAACTCGGTTCAGTTCCTTAGAAATAAGTGACTCTAACACTCAGATACCACCTTGAGCTGGTCAGCGTCAGGGGAAAGATCATAACTGCCTAAAAGTAAGCGGAAAACGTCCATGGAAAAAGCTCCTGATCCAGACTTCCACACGAAACTGGGCAAAGAAAAAAACACTTCGTAACTTAGTAATGAAACAAATGCTGTCGTATGATTAAAGGCATTCTTCAGTTTAAGAAAATTGGTATATAAAGTTCAACTTAATGAATTGGAAAACTAGGGGACTATAGAATATTTTTACGTTAGGAAACGTCATGTTTTCTATTCTAAAAATGGTAGCACCTGCTGGTAAGGTGTGATAATACAGCCGAAGCACTGACCCAGAAGAGCAGCAGATAGACAGCTCTGGTTCCAGAAGTAGGGCTCAGTGAATCCTCAGGCAGGAGGAAAAAAACCATGGCTTAGAAGGTCAAGACAACTGATGACATATAGAAACCCCTAGAGCTAGAAAACTGCTGTAACACCATCTTCTGGACTCAGCGTTCTGCTTGTCACTCACACGTCTAACCTCATCAGACATTTTCACATCTGCTTACTTTACTGAGGATTCTCTCTTTGGGGAAGCATTTACCTAATATCATGAAATCTGCAGGAAAAGGAGAATTTGCCTTACAAGAACATACTTGCTTCAAGTCAAAACTTTGGAAGCATGTCTTCATGGGTCCAGCTCTTTTCCAAAGAACAGTGTCCTCCAGGGTCTCCTTCTACATTAGCGGCTGATTTTTTGTAAACTCGAATCAGGGGTCTAATTCTGGACATGGATACCACACAAACGCTCACATGCTAAGAAAAGTTTCAAAAAGACAGAAAAGCCACATCTACTCTTACCTCCCTCTGCTTCTAGAACAATGACCTCATTTTCTAACCAGCCACCTCCTCAGGACTTCCCCACCCATTTCCAGTCAAAGCCCTTTACCCACTAATACACTTGACTGTTTGTGATGTGTGTAAAATACACTAGGCATTGTTGAGGATGGAAAAATTATTAGGACAAGACCTCATAAAGCTTAGGGGAAATAAGATATACAGATATTACAGGTTAAAAGTGTAAGTACTTAACAAGGGTACCATTTAAGACCTATGGAAGCTCAGAGGAGGAAAAGATATCCTCTGGCTGGAGGAATAAGGGAAATTTTGTTTAAATAAGCCTGGCCTTACGCTTAAGATAAAGCTGCACAAACTGTCTGCCCATCACAATGAGGAAAAGCCAGATAAATGTCAAAATGATAACTATGAGCCCATCAGAGAGCAGAGTCACAAGGCAGTCAAGTAATCTGATTTCCAAAGAGTAACCAGCCCTTCCAAGGAGAGAAGGGCCACAGAACTCTCATCTGTGGCAGGGCCTGGAAACGTCACCACCATACCAGCTGGTAAGGTATCAGCTAAAATCTTAATGAACTGATGAAAGCCAAATGTGGGCTAAGATGTCTGTCTGGAATAGTCTGGGACTCCAGACACAAGAAGTTCACACTCACAGGCACTTTTGTGGAAGATGGAAGCAGGGTAGAAGGCCAGAGGGGAATCCTACATCAACAGCAAACAGAGGGCTCCTTCCTACCCCTGGGGCAGAGGCAGGAAACACTAGCTCAAGACCACAGATACGAGACAGAGATTGCTGCGGACAACTGACAGGAACACTGAGAAAGCCCCATCCTCAATGCCTGGTGCAAAGATCACCTAGGTCAGAGAATCCCTGCCCCGAGAGCCCAGGACCAGCAAAGAGGAACAGCAGCTGCCCCTGGAGGGAGGGGCAACAGTGTGGGGAGAGATGCCCTCAGTGAGGCCGGCTGGCGGGGAAGGCCGAGGGCAAGGTCAGGCACCCACCGCTAAAGGAATTTGAGGCCCGTGGAACAGTGAAGGTAGGAGAGCCACCACGAAGCCCAAGCCCAACTTCTCACTAGACTCACCTAGACACCTACACAGCAGTTCAAGGCCTCTACAACACTCTTTTCCCCCACAAGGACCTAAATTCCCCAAGTACTGATTTACTTCCCCTGAGAGTTTTCAAGAACCCAACCAATTTAGGGACTAGATCACTGCAATCCCTAGATTGCCTGCATGCGACTCATGTGATACATCACTTACACGATAGGAATTCAGCTTCTGTGGAAAGGGCCACTTGCCCTTTTCAAAGTATCTCACAGGCTTGTCATGCCTGGAATCATATCTAGGAGCTTAATCTTTAGGTTTAGTATTTTTGCCTCTAGAAGTCCCCTATTAAATAACCATTCTGGAAAGGTAAAGCATTATATAATTATGAATCATAACTCATCAGAGAATTTATGATATTGCTTCCTTCCCCACAACTTTTTCATAGTAAAAAGGTGTATGAGAAGATCTGGGTTCAGTCCTGACTGTGATTGAATAGATGCATGGCCAAGTCAACGGTTCTGAGCTTCAACCTCCTGGTGTGCAAAATGGGGATTTTAATTCTGACCTCACTGAGGTTTTGTAGAGATTAAATGGAGTCATTCACCTAAAAGTGTTCTATAAACTGTAAATCACATATAAATGGGGAAAGAATAAATCAACACCTAGTTAAAAAAGTTTTGAAATGTGATATCAAATTAAAAATTATAAGCCTCACATCTTTAAATCAGCTTTGATTAAAATTAATTGGCAATTTCATAATCTGGATGATAAAATGCAGGGTGTTTTTTCCCATTTATAATATATGTATTTGTATATATACATACATACATATATGTCATATATACTATTTTTAATAGATATATTTCATCACTGTAACATTACATTGAGATCAAATACCTTAAGCTTTAACAGTGTTTTTGAAAATGTAAAGCACTAGATGAACCATTTGGTTTTGTTTAGAATACATGACAGAATGTTAGCAAACATACACAAACAAGTTATCACATAATTATATTGCGTTCCTGTTGATATCTATTATTACAAAAGGTAAAGAGCTTTTCTCTAATGTTTTAAGGTCTGTTTAACAGTTCCAAAGATTGCTGACTTGTAACATTGAGATTATGTTTGTGTAGAAAACTATTTCTTAAAGTTGTAAACTAGGTTTGCTATAGGTTGATCTTACATGTCAACCTCATGAAGATGAACTCAGTATGACGTCAGTAATCTGGTTTTACTTGAACTACAAAAAAAACAAAAAACTGCATGAACTCTCAGAATTACATACATCACTGAAGGCACTTCTTCCTCTAAAACATTTCTTTCTAAGTTTAATAAATGACTGATTAAAACTCACTGTAGAATCCTGATTTTCCATGAAACCAATCAGATAGATACATTCCAAGCATACAGTATTTCTTGGAATAGGCAGAACTCACGTGGAGACTTGGGGTGCTTGGGGCATGATCAGGGAAGAATAAGGAAAAAGGCATGTTCTGGCACTGAAGGGAAATCTGAAAGCTGTCCCAGACAAGAGGAGAATATGAAGCAGGACATAATAGGAGATGGGAGAAGTGATTAATAGGAGAGGGGAGAGGAGAGGACTGCAGGAGGGAAACTCACAGGAGTGCTTGGACTCAAGAATTTGAAGTAAGGTACATATAGTTTTAAAAGTTTAAAAGAGAAGAAGATTCCAACTACTGTGTGTTGAACTGATTGGAATGATGAACACCAGTGACTATAAAGTAGGTGGTCTGTTTCTTTTCTCTCCTTTCTCTCTTCTCTTCCTTGTATTCATTCTTTAGTCACCAATCCTTAATTCCTATTATATGATAGACACTGGGGAATCTCCTAAATAGTACAGTCTGATTAGGGTTAGAGGCACATAAACAGATGACAATGTGATCAGTGCAGTGACTGAAATATGTATTGGATACAGTGGCTTTTAGGTAATTTTTGTTAAGCTTAAATGAGAAGGGGCAGGTGTGAAAGGGGCCCCGCACAACTGCCCCATCCAAGATGCCAAAGAGCCCCTGCAGAGTACAGGTGTAAACCAGCCCTGTGCATTCTGATTTCCCTTATCAGAAAATTTATCAGTCTCCCTTGGCCAATGGGACAGAAGTGGAAGTCTGCTAGACTTCTTAGATTTTACTTTTTTAATGAAAGAAAAAAGTATCATTGATGCCACCACTTCCTCCTCCTTCCTGATTTATACATGGATATAATGCCTAGAGCAGTGGCATGAGGCTACGAACAAAATATGCTAAGAATGATAAAGCAGAGAACCTAGATAATTGATGCTTTATTATTATAATATCAGCAGCAGAATGAACAGCACTTCCAGATACCTTGTTTTTCACTGCTAATTGGTTTTCTGTTACTTGCAGCTGAGTACTTTCCTAATATGAGGCATAAGTTAGAAGTTGTAAAGCAGGGACTTCCCTGGTGGTGCAGTGGATAAGACTCCACCTGCCAGTGCAGGGGACACGGGTTCGATCCCTCATCAGGGAAGATCCCACATGCCGCAGAGCAGCTAAGCTCATGTGCCACAACTACTGAGCCTGTGCTCTAGAGCCTGCAAGCCACAACTACTGAAGCCCGTGTGCCTAGAGCCCGTGCTCTGCAACAAGAGAAGCCACCGCAAGGAGAAGCCTCTGCACTGCAGCAAAGAATAGCCCCTGCTCGCTGCAACTAGAGAAAGCCCACGCACAACAACGAAGAACCAACACAGCCAAAAATAAATAAAAAATCAAATCTTTAAAAAAAAAGGGCTTCCCTGGTGGCACAGTGGTTGAGGGTCTGCCTGCCGATGCAGGGGACACGGGTTCGTGCCCCAGTCCGGGAGGATCCCACATGCCGCCGAGCGGCTGGGCCCATGAGCCATGGCCACT